TTCCTGCCAGCCTGCCCACCGCCGAGCCCAGTTCCGCGAGTGCTGCCCGGGCTGTGGAGGACAAAGGCGCTCCGTGCCCCCGCGGACCACTGCTCTAGGGGGACCCCGGCCCAGGGCGTCAGGGTGCTGACAATGGCAGTACTCTGGAGCCAGCGACCTTATTGGGTTCTCGCCCCTGGGCTGCCCTTGATTTACTCAGCGGTCACAATCGGGTCGAACATGGATCGAAATGACACCATAAATGGTTCTGCTGCTTTGTGTATAGGTCTCCTGGGCCTGCAGTTTGCATGAAAAAGAAGTACCCTGGCAGGTCGCTTCTTTCCGATCCTGGCAACATTTTGGAAAAGACTTTTGAAATTGGCATCCAGTTCTGGTGATCTTTGTATATAGTTCATGTCAAGAACAGCATTGTGAATTTATCACTATATTGCTATGAATCCCTTAGCTAGCGCTACTTCCAAAGACATTTTGGGAGTGAGAATCTTCCTAATACCCTCTTCTGTGATGGGTAAATTAAAAAAAACTCAGTCTTTTTCTGACTATTCAATGAATACGTACTTTGTTCCTTTCATTTTCGGAATCCCAGCTTTAAGGTCATTTGGCGAAGCTCCTAATAGCTGACTTTCTGAGGACTTCACCTTGTCATACGTAGATGTCTCACAGTTCTTTTTTTTTCCTGTCTCCTCTCTAGGGGTTCCCGCCATCTCTCTCTCTCTTGCAGAAGCTACAATTTTTTGCAGCATCCTCCTCTTTTCCTTGTCCTGTTGTGTTTGTTTATGTTTTAATCTCTACTCATGGAAGCAGATGGAGTTCTAGTAGCGTAATGGTTACGGATCGGGCTGCTAACCTCAAGGTCGGCATTTCGGAATTTCGAAACTACCAGCTGTTGCGCGGGACAAACATGAGGCTTTCTGCTCCCGTAAAGATTTACAGCCTCGGAAACCCTGTACAGGGTCACTGTGAGTCAGAACCGACTTCACGGCACATAACAACCACAACATGGAAGCAGCAGTCAGGAAATCACGATGATTGTGTTAGGCAAATCTGCTGCACACGAACTTTTTTAAGTGTTGAAGAGAAAAGATATGCCTGACCCCAGCCATGGTATTTTCAATAACCTCATATGCATGCGAAAGTTGGGTAGTGAATAATGAAGATCTTAGAAGAATTGACGTACTTGTGTTATGGTGTTGGAGGAGAATACTGAAAGTGCCATGGGCTGCCAAAAGAACCAACAGATCTGTGTTGAAAGAAGTGCAGCCAGAGTGCTCCTTGGAGGCCAGGATGGCCAAACCTTATCTCTCATACTTCGGACATATTGTCAGGAGGAACCAGTCGGCTCCAGAAGACTATCATGTTTGCTAAGGTGGAGAGTCAGAGAAAAAGAGGAAGACCCCCCAGCGAGATGGGTTGGCAAAGTGGAAAAGCATCAGTGGGCTCAAGCATGGTAACAATTGTGAGGTTGACCCAGAACTGGGCAGTGTTTCGTTCTGTTGTGCATAGATAGGGTCGCTATGAGTCAGTACCCACTCGAAGGCACCTAACAACAACAACTTGTTCTTTGGCCATGGAAACCCCATGCAAGGTTAATATGAGTCAAAACTGACTGGATGGCACTTAACAACAACATCAACTTGTTCTTTGGTGCTAGAATTCCAGTCATCAGGATTTAACACTTCATGTTCCTGTCCAGCTTTAGACTTCATGTGGATCGTTTGCTTTTTTCATAGTGCTTTGACGCTTCTGTACTTACATCTGGTAGCTTTCCGTGTCTTCAACATTTATGCTTCTTCACCTTTCCCGCTTTCTTCATTGTGGAGAACTAGTCTAAGTCTTTTTGCCTCAGCAGTTAACAGCCTGCTAATGTCTTCCTCTTCTAGAACCTGCCTGTGCAGCTGCCATCAGATAATGCCCTGTTCGTGAGCCTGTGAATGGCTCCTTATGTCCTCTTATTATCAAGCCCAAATCACTGTGACTTGGTGCCAAAACCCTAGCTGTTAACTGCTTGCCTCATAGGGTCTGGCCTTCCTAGTGGAGACGAAGAAAATGAGATGGAAAAGGTTGGCGATTGGGAGCCTGGATGGACTTCACACTGGAGGGGGGTATAGTCATCATTTGGGTTTCGACGTCATTCTGGTAGGCAGTATAGAGATGGATTTGAGGATGAGGGGACTGGAAATTGGGAAGTTCTCCCCGGGCAGACAGACAAGGAAGGAATGCGACAGGACTTGCCAACTCATTGGACAGGAAGAGGGAGAAATCAAAAAGAATTTCCTAATTCATGCCTTACGCAACAGAAGGGTGAGGAAATCCATGAAGAGTAAGAAAGTTTAGGATGAGATCGTGAGTGTTTGGGGGTATATTGAGATTTTCATGAACATCCAGAAAAGGTTGTTTAGTGAGCCACCAAGTACATACCTTAGAGAAAGTTGTCCAGGCAAAATGTAGCGATAAGGGCTACATCAAAATACCATGCAAGTGGGGGTTGGAATCCTGAGGGAGGAAGTCCAGGAGATCAGGTCAAATGAGAGCAGTGGCCTGGGAAGGAGCTAATGGAGCCAGGCAACATCAGCTTTTACAGGTCAGGCATGAACAGAGGAGTGTAGTGGAGGAGAAGCCTAAGAGTTAAAGAATTTCAAGAAGAAGGAAAATATTCAGTTAATTTCATGCCTTAGGGAGCTCAAGTAGGATAAGAAATGAGATGGGTCCATTGAATGTGGTGATTGAAAAAGTCATTGGTGACCTTGTCAGAAATTGTTTTGGTGAAATGGTGGTGGGAAGAAACCACAGAGCAGTGGCTTGAGATGTAAGTGGGAGGTGAAAATGAGGAGGCAGGAAGTGTAGACAACTCATTCCCAACAGTGGAGGAGTAGCGAGAGTTGTTCCGTTGGTTAGCTGGGTTTTAAAGACAGGAGAATGTTGAATGTACAGTGAGAAGACCGAGCTGATAGAATGGCTGAAGATAAAAGCCAAAGAAGGGATCACTGATGGAGTTTAGTTATTTTGAGAATGTGGAGATTTCTCCCAATTAAGGCTTTGGTCTCAGGATTTCAAGTGAGCCTGGACTGGCTGCTGAGCACAGGTCATGTGCTGGCCTTGGACACCCTAACCAAGTCACAACCACGTGGCTTCCCCTTATGGATGCCCTTTGGCTGGTCATCAGGAAGCTCCTAATGTGGAAGCAGATCACCTCCTCAACACATCACTGCCGGAGGTGAAGCACTGCCCTGCTGCCTTCTCTGCTGTCAGAGCTTTCAGACTGCTTCTTCCATTTTACACACTGGATTGTTGCGTAGACTGTTCTAGAACAACACTCTATTCAAATATTTAACAGATAATAAGTAACCCTTTAGACATCACCAGGACCATTAAAAGAGACTGATGTCTATTATTTTAATCGATATGGCCCGAGATGTTCTGTTTGCTATGTAAAAATAGAACACATTAATTTTACTTCCAAAACTTGGAAAGAAGTGCATTCACAAAGGCTGATAGTATCAGCTTCCTTTGATCACTTTTGAGTTCCACATTCTCAAATCCTTGTGAGCTACTTGGCTACTTGCTCCGTCTTTTGCCATGCCTCTTCTCACTCACCACATCCACACATTTTGTTGGCCCAGTCTTGATGTCACCTTCCTCTTTCATATCTTGATTCGGCTTCCTAATAAAATTCTGCCCAATAATTCTTTCAAGATCTTGCTTCCAAACTTCACTCATTCCATGATGCTTCAGTTTCCTAAAATCTATTCTTCCTCCAAATTTACTAATTATATGTGAGACGATATCTACACATCAGCTGTTCATGTTGTTAGGAGCCATCAAGTCGGTACCAACTCATAGTGACCCTATGCACAACAGAACGGAACACTGCCTGATCCTGGGCTAAATTCACAATCATTGCTGCATTTGAGCCCGTTGATGCTGCCACTGTGCCAACCGTCTTGTTGGGAGTCTTCTTCTTTTTCTCCCACCCTCCAACTTACCAAACGATATCCTTCTCCAGCGATTGGCCCCTCGTGACAATATGTCCGAAGAATGAGAGATGAAGTTTGGCCATCCTGGCCTCCAAGGAGCACTCTGGCTGCACTTCTTCCAACACAGATCTGTTAGTTCTTTTGGCAGCCCATGGTACTTCCAATATTCTCCAACACCATAACTCAAAAGCATCAATTCTTCTCTGGTCTTCCTTATTCACTGTCCAGCTTTCACATACATATGAGGTTATTGAAAATACCATGGCTTGTGTCAGGGGCACCTTAATCCTCAAGCGTGATCTTTGCTCTTCAACACTTTAAACAGGTCTTGTGCAGCAGATTTGCCTAATGTAAAATGTCATTTGATTTGTTTTAAGGTTTTTATTGTGGATTGAGTGAAAGTGTACAAGGCAGATCATCAGTTTTATATTCAACAGATCATACACTTTGTTTCATTACAATGATTATAATCCCCTCCATGTACCATCAGTTAACAGTATTTCTCTCTACCCACTTTAGCTTTTTAAAAAAAGAAAAGAAATAAACAACAACAACAGCACTCAGGCATACATAGTAATTTACATCTCCAAGGGGCACACTCTACAAGTCTTCCTCCTGGCCACCAGCTCTTAGTACATCTCTTCCCATGAATCTAGAGTCCTCAGCTGCTCCCCCTCTCGATGACTCCATCTCTGCCTCCATCTCTGGCATCGCTGCTTCTCTGGATAAGGTCCTGCATTCTGCTTCTGTTCTTCTCCCTTGATGGTCCTAGGGTCC